TCCCTCTCCCTCTCCCTCTCCCTCTCCCTATCCCTATCCCTATCCCTATCCCTATCCCTCTACCTCTCCCTCTCCCTGTCTCTCTCCTCTTACCCCAATTCAGGTAGCTTGAAAGGAAGAATCAAGAGATCTTGAAAGACAAAGTAAACTCACTGGCAAACCTAGCCCCATCTTTCACTCTTGAAACAAAACGGAATAGCAGAACAGCAGGCTAAGGAGCCTCTATGGGTGTTCTTTCTGAGGGCAAGCCTACTGCTGTAGACAGCAATGACCCTACTCCCTGTTTGTCAGGGCGTCTGCTCTCGCTTTCTTAGCTGCCGCAGTGATGACCACTGGGTGTCATGTTTCACAGGACACCTCTTTCTAACGTTCTATCTGAGGAACCTTGACCTTCACTGGTGTCCAGTCTCTTTGGGACCTTCGCTTCTCTGGGACACCCCTAGGAAGAACAAACCGTTCTTGTTTCCCACTGCCTGTATCTCATCCTTGTCAGTACTATCACCTCATCTCATCATATACGTCATTGCTGTGGGCGGAGTCCTGGCATCTCACCCTAACATCCAGTCGTGACTTTAGAATGTACCCCTCTAGCCGGGCAGTGGTGGCCCACGCCTTTAATCCCAGCACTTGGGAGGCAGAGGCAGGCGGATTTCTGAGTTCGAGGCCAGCCTGGTCTACAGAGTGAGTTCCAGGACAGCCCAGGCTACACAGAGAAACCCTGTCTCAAAAATTAAAAAAAAAAAAACCACCTTAGAATGTATCCCTTGCAACTACTCATGTATCAGCTCTCCTAATTCTATTTGTAACCCTCTGGGGTTGAAGGGCAGAGGTCATTGTTGTGACTTACAAATGTGCAGGTGGATCAGATTCACGGTCTGGAACAGTGGAGAGAATTTGTGGACAGAGAGCCAGAGCCCAGGTTTCCTGGCCCTAAGCTGCAGACCTATTGCCCAGACCTTCTCCTCCATAAGATCTCCTGATGGACAAACAGACGCACAGATGATGGAAGGATGACAGACAACAGATAGAAACTTAGGTCCTCAGGTGCATGGGGCTCTGATGTCATAGAGCGCATGATGAACTCAATGGGTTGAAAGATAATGGGCAAAATAGTCACCCCAAAGTGTGAAGGATACATATTGTAGCATTTTAGTCTGACTTTGGGTTTGAAATTATATCTAAATAAGAAGTTTAAAACTGGCCTGCTTTACTTAATCTAGTGCTATTGTCTGCTGGTAGCAGTCTACTATTCCCTAGATTGGTCTGTCGACAGCCAAACCACAGCTGACCAGTGGCAGGTTCCCCACAAGTCTAGTATACAATGGGCCACACATGTGACACCTGAGGGTTTTTGGTGCCAATGGGCAGACCCGCTTTTCCCTTGATGTAGTCTTTGCTTTCTGTTCAACTTGGCTTTGAGCTTTCCAGGGAACACCTTCCAAGAGCTTTCTCTTTTCTATCTGCTCACACCAGTGCAACCCCAACCATGGACGTCCAGCCTCTTTCTGCAGTTCTTCCTTGAGCTGCCTACAGGCTTGGCATTTGCACAGGAAGTTAGTGCCAGATGCTACATCAGCTCTCAGGTTCCCTTACCTGGGATTGGGTAATACCCTTAGTAGGTGAGCATCTGCTTACTCGAGCCTCCAACTCTCCAAAAGCTTGAGCATGACAGCTCACAGCGGGGTTGCAGAGGAGAGACGCAATACATCTGGGTTAGCAAGGGAAGCCCGGGAGGAAGGAGCGCAAGAGAGCAGGGCTGACAAGAGAAGTACCCAGGCCAGGAAGGGATCAGGGTGAGGCTCAGGATCCAGCACTACAGGGGGAAGCAGGAGTGGAGGGAGGGATGCTTGGACAGAGATCTGGTGGACCGGAGTGCCAGAGAGAGGCTAGGCAAAAAGGAGAAGGGGCGCGAGGCGGGGACTGGGCCGAGGGGCGGGGCCGGGACTTGCAGCCTGGAAGGCGGGGAGGGTGATAGGCGCGAGACTGAGGAAATCCGCGCTGGGAGGCCCCGAGCTGGGGACGGTGCTGCTGTGGGCGCCAAGGACCAAGGCTGCGCGCTGAGCCCAAGATGAGGGCGTCGGTGGTGCTGACCTGCTACTGCTGGTTGCTGGTGCGGGTGAGTGAACCCGCTCTCCCTTCCCATCCTGCAGTAGACCGCTGGGCTCACCTCACGAGCGGGTCCCAGCACGAGCGGGCGGAGCGTGGGGCCAGCGGAGACAATCCAGAAGCAGAATGCGTCCTACTGAAGCCCTACCGAACCCTGGGCTGCTGGACTCACGGGCAGTTTTCCTATTTCTACCGCCGTCTCGGGTTCGCCAAAAGTGGGGTTCAGGTTCTTCTCGACCCCTGCCCCGGGACGACCTGGGTCCTGGTCTGGCAGTGCGCCTGGAGTTGGGGACACCCCTAGCACCCAGCAAGAATAGCGGCCGCTGCCCAGGCCACCTGCTCTGGCTTTGCTTCCGTGGGAAACTGTTGTTACTCTGTGGTTAAATATTTCTCTTTCCATCTCCTGGTCCGTGTGTTTGTTTAGTATGTGACAGAGGAAAAGTGCTGTGGCTAAGAAAGTTTCCTTTTGGAAATACTCTCTTTTTTTTCTTTCTTTCTTTCTAAGAGAGCCAAAGGAACCCCTGAGTCGAAGTTTCTTACATGGGTTGCATTGGTTTTATGTAGTTCTCCGGAACTCTACCCTTTATTTGAAAACCTTTCTTAAGAAAGAAAAGAAGGGTTTGAGCCTTATTTCTTGTCTTTTCTTCTCTGCTTTGAGAACTGTATCCCTGTGGAGCTCAAGGTTTCCACACATATCTAGGCCTCCGGCTGAGGCAGCCAACTAAGCTGAGCGTGTGCAGCAAGAGGGGAGGGGTTGTTTAAGGAAATCCATCCGTCATTGTTGATGAAATTTCAGTTTTCTGGAGCATATCTTCTCCGCCCCCACGGGTTGCTGAGGGAACCCTCACAGAGATGCTTGTGAAGCCTCGGGACTCCATTCACTTTAACCTTTCAGGCGTCCCAAAATGTCATCGTTCCCCATGTTCCAGGAATGTCAGAGATCGCTGGCTTTTAGCACCTTGATTTACTATCTTATCAGATCTGAAATTCAGATCAGTGGGGCTGTTGCTCTACGTTTGGATCTCTGCATTTTGGTGGTCGTGTAGCAACGAGCTGGGAAATCCAAAGTACCTCAGCTGGTCTTTAAATGACGTGAACGTGGCAGAAAATCCAACATTGAGTTTTGTCCTTTGATTCTATTAGGAAATTGTATTCCATGCTAGCTGGCCTATCTATATCAACAGTAGGATAACTAAAATCACAGGGAGAAACCAAGACAGACAGACAGACAGACAGACAGACAGACGACAGAGACAAGTAATGAGAGTGAGTACTCCACAAGCAGCCCAGTCTGGGAGGACACTGGGTTTTCATAAGAACAGCCATCAGAAAATGCTGTCTTCCTGGACTGCGAGCTCAGATGCTCTCTTTACTGTCTAGCGAGCACGCTCAGCTTCAGGGGCTGACGACCCTGTGAAAGCTTTGCAGAAACCTTCCATGGCTCCTTGGATCAGATCTGTTTCTCTCAGCTCTGCCTCTTCCATCTCATTTTTAAAAGGTGCTTCACACCAAGTCGCACAATGATAACAATATTATCTGTACAAATAGGGTTAAGTTTTGAGTGTGTCCTGAAGCTTATGAAAGTTCACTCAAGCTATTCTGATTCTAGCCTGATCACAAAGAGGGTCCTTGGGTACACAGATTGTCTGTGCACACCCCACAGCCACTAAGAGTTAACTTGCTTTACTTAGGCCAAAGAGTATGAAATGGGAGCTCTTCGATTCTGAGAGATGCACATTTCTAATGGCCCATTGCTCTTAAGTTAGTAATAACAACATATGATGCCAGTTTATTTTCCTGCTGAGAAAAGGTTTTCTATTGGATTTTATGTTTGTTTCACAAAATAAATAGTAAAGTTTTTCTTTCTTTTTTTTAAAATAACCACACCAGGAAAATGAAATAGCTACTTTAAAATTAATTTCAGTTTCAAAGAAATTTAGAAATGTGAAGCTTTGGATCTTCCCGTAGATTTTTGCTTAACCCCCTTTGTGTAATTTTTAGTTACTTCGATTTCTTTAACTTTAACAGGTGAGCAGCATCCATCCAGAATGTCGCTTTCATCTGGAAATACAGGAAGAAGAGACAAAATGTGCAGAGCTGCTAAGCAGCCAAACAGAGAATCACAGAGGTGGGTTTGGAGATTAAGTCTGGGGGTGGGAGTTCTAGCTGTCTACACTTCTTAGCCCCTTCCCTAATTGAGTGACTGGAGGTCACCTACACCTTAAAAAGTAGGACCATTTGCCACTGTTCTGGTGGGCCACAAGCAAAGCTAATGTAGCCTTGTGACAGTGGGGATTTCAGCAAACCTTTTAAAAGAAAACCTCAATTCTTAACACCAACAGTTTCCATGGTTTGATGAGGCAACTGTTTCTAACATTATGTTAAGGATCTGTCATGCTCTGCAAAGTCAACTCTGGTTCCCAGAGAATAATAGCACATATCTGAATTCTTGGATCTAAAATATTAGCTATCCTTGAAGTTGGTTTAGCTAAGAATGATAGAAACTTGTCAGAAGCAAGAAGGAAAATGGGACTTCAGTTTTCTGAAGACATACCTATTGCAATACTGTGAGTTTGTTGAGCTTGTCCTCTGATTGGAACAGAAAGTTTTCTGAGACTCCAGGCCTCTGATTTACGCCTCCTTCATGTTCATAGACCCAAAGGCCCCTGGGTACCAGCCCAAGTATCTACAGCACAGTCTTTTGTCTGGGATCTCTCTGCTCAATAGTCACGTGTACAGCCTTTTCGAGAAAGAAATTAAAGTCCATAGTCTGATGTTTGTTAGAAACACTCAAGTCTACCACTCCACTCTGAACCTCTTACCTAATGAAAGAGTTAGAGCTACATCGCTAATGTGAAATTTCTAGGAGCCACATTAAAACAAGTTTTTAAAAAGAAGTGAGATTAATTTTTTTTTTGTTTTTTTTTTGAGACAGGGTTTCTTGGTATAGCCCTGGCTGTCCTGGAACTCACTCTGTACACCAGGCTGGCCTTGAACTCAGAAATCTGCCTGCCTCTGCCTCCCAAGTGCTGGGATTAAAGGCGTGCGCCACCACCGCCCGGCATGAGATTAATTTTTAATAATGTATTTTATATCAACCTAAGTTATTGACCTAATTATCATTTTGACTTATAAACAACAAGAAATTATTGTTTCTAAACTCTTTTTCTATAAGTCTTATAACATAGTGCATTTTTAAAGAATGTTATTTGCACTTCACCTTTTGGGACACTTTTCAAGCTTCTAGTACCACAGATTGGTCAGTGGCGCCCACACTAGGCAAAAAGGCTGTAAATAGGTACCTTTTTCTTGCCTGCCTTAGACCCCTGTTTCCTCATCTGAAAGTGAAGCCTCCACTCGGCTCCAAGCTTCCTTTAACCAGCTGTGATTTTACAGCTCACACGTGGTTCTGAACCAGACATTCCCCAAATTGTCTAGTTGACCTCAGTCCACCAACACAAATTCTATTGGTCAGTCCCACTGCCCCCATGAAGGGCTAGCACTAAAGAACTGGCTTCAGCTGGCAACAAATGAAAGATATGGATCAGCACTGTGGTCACCAAGGCTGTCTCTGTTCAGTAAAAATTCAAGAGTTCAGAAAAGCAATCCTGTGGCAAAGGCACACACACACACACACACACACACATAACCAAACAACAACAATAATGATAACAATTACAAGATGAAGAAGAGGAAGGGGAGGAAGAGGAGGAAGAGGAAATTAACTTAGACATGAGGCTTGTGAAGATTTAGTAGCTAGGAGCACTTGCTGGGTTCCCAATGCCCACAGCACCACATTTATACCTACAGTTCCAAGGAATCCAGTGCCCTCTGCAGAACTCCACAGGCTTCTGCATACAGGTAGTATGCATGTATGCTTCCAGGCAAACATTCATATATATACATATACACATACGCATACACATACACATATACATATATATATATGAAATAAATCTTTCTTAAAAAATGAAATTAAAATGGGAGCCAGGCAGACCTCCACAGCCAGTGATGGCTAGAGCTGCTGATGACTGAAATCTTGGGCTAAGCGGCCCTCTCCAAGACAGCATGCTGAGATAAGCTTCCTGGGTTCCCAGAGGACAGCCTGTATCAACAGCCTAGTTGGAGTCTATGAAAACTGCTCAGATTTCCTTGGTGCTTGTTTGGCATGGCCAGGTGGATCAAGCCTGTGGGACTTCTCCCTTGTTTGTCATATAGACAGACCTCATTGCAAGAACGGGTGCCTACTTGGACATTTCATGTTGTGGGCTTCTATTTTCAGTGTTAGCTTACAGAAAAAGTATGTGTGTATCCGATTCATCCACCTTTCTCTTTTGGAAGAACTTCTTGGTCATTAGCCAGCCACCCTCAGAAGAGCAGAGCTGATCATCAGCAGCCACTGTGCAGCTCCCAGAAGAGACAGCCTGTGACCCTAGTACTCATCTGCTCTCTGAAATATGCAGAGTTCCAATGCCAAGAGTATAAATAGCAGTAGGTTACCAGGATGAAGATGCTGCAGGCAATGGGAGCCAGAGGCTGTACAGAGCCAGAACTGAGGGAGCACTTCTGGTAGGACAAGGCCACAGGACATATCCTCATGCAGTCACAAGTGACATTGCTGAGTTCCTAACGTCTGTGAGAGCTGCTTTCATGTTCCGTGGCAGTGTGTAATTGGTCTAGTAGAACCTCAGAAATTAGAAACAAAGTAGCTTCCATGTCGGCAAAATAACTTCCACTCAGAAATTAGAAACAAAGTTGCTTCGATGTTGGCAAAATAAAAACTTTCCCAGCCCTAATATGGAACTCTTCCTCTTTGCTTTATGAAGAATCAAGAAAACAAAACAAAAAGATGTAGTAAATCCATACAAAACCAATGTCAATTCTAAAAAGGACTCAGAAAGCCATGGAGATATTTGGAGTCCTGTAGTTTAATTTTGATTCACTGCTAAGACAAGGTTAATCTTGATAGGATGAGGGCCTAACGTCACAGATGGTTGAGAGTGGAGGAAAGTTCTCTGGGAAGTTAGTATAGGAACTTTCCTGTGACTTCACATCACCACATGCTCACATCTATGGCCACTCCAGACTGGGAGAACCCAAGTTAGACTGATACGCCTTGATAATGCCCCTCCCTGAAAAATTAGGTGGTATTCATCAAAGGATGCATTTTGCTATAGTCAGCTTAGAACCAGGTAAAGGAAGGTGCTGAACAGTGGCCTTTGGTTTGTTTTAAGCAGAATGTTGGATTCCTTAGAGGAACTGTGAAGGCCTTGTTATTCCCTCTGCTGGCAAGCAGGGCTACAGTAGCCAGCCACAGGGTCATGATAATAGCAGAAGATGGGAAATGTTGGGCCAGAGACCGACGTCCCTGCTTCTCACACAGTGCATGGCATAAGCTTCACGCTCAGCAGGGTTTGCTTCATTGAGGACTCTCAGATCCAAGGCCTGTGCATCTGGGTCACAGCCCCACCCTAGAAAATCCTCAGCGTCCACAGCAGGTTGTTAGAATCCTGACAGCAAGTTGAGGATTCAAAGTGGGGGGGGGGACACCTTAATTGCTAGACTGCCCAGAGGAACTGTTGCCCAAGGCTGTTTGCATCTGACATGTCAGAAGAGAAGCAGTTAGGTGTCTCCTTAGAAGTTGCCCATGGAGGGGCTCAGGAGCCCACCCTGGAGAATGTTTAGCAAACTGAGACAGCTTCTTTTTATTATCCAGGAATGATATGTGGTCACCAGTGACCACAGCACGCTGGCCACCAATCCTTCTACCCTGTTGTTTTTGAGACAGAGAAAGAGAACATGTTTGGTTCCTGTTACATCTCACAAATCTTATGCCGTACCTTTAAAAATATTTGAACTGGCTTTTACAGAAGGAATTGATGAACATTTTTTTACAGCAGAAATTAGGGTTAAGAAATAGTGACTATGAACACAGAAAAAAGTATTACAGTGAGAAGCATGTCCATGCCTGTCCTCCCTTGCCCTGTGAGGCTGACGGTCCCGGTGCACACTGCCCTTGAAAACCATCCATGTGTTTGTTGTGTCTTGATCTCTCTTCTCTCCTTCAGTTTGGAGACTGTGTCTGCTCTCCATTCTCCTTCAGGTTTACTTAATATCTAGTACATCCCGTTGGTTCCCTTCAGCTATTGAACTTTCAGATGGGTGACAATGTTTCCCTATTAGAAACAATGTCCTAATGTTCTTAAGAATAAAATATCTCACCAGCACCTCATGAACCTCAAGTCACTAATCATAAAATTAAGTCAGCTTCTCGTGACCCAGTAAAGAGCAAGGTCTGTGTGATGCAGTTCTTGGTCAGTGACAGTTGGACCCTGAGGAGAAAGCTTAAAGCAAGGGGAAAACCAGGCTGTGTATTCCCACCAGGTTCTGAGGTCCAGGAATGGTGTCATGTGCCTGACACAGGCCTATCACAGTGAGTAACCACTGCAAGGTATTCAGTACAAGGGAAAATGCACACTCCTCCAGTACCTGAGCCTTTCTCTGTTTAGTAAGAGGGGTCCTGAGTTGTTCCCAGAAGCCCAAGATCTCAGGCTAAGGACGTCCAAACAGGAGGGCTTTCTAAGCCCTAGACCCTCTACACCTACTGTCTTTGCATTCACAGCTTGTTAGGAACAGAGCAGAATTTTCTAGAAGGACATTGCCTCACTCTTCAGTGTCCTATCAGAGACAGGAGTGCCACTTAAATGTTGACCCACAGATTCTAAGTCTCATTTGGTTTCTTCATCTGTGTATTCAAAACTGCCTGTCAGATGAGGCTCTCTACCAGGTCACCGCCTGCTTGGTGAAGTGAGTGTTTTCTTTCCTTGGACCTGTGTTAGCATGTGAAGTTCCAGGCACCACCCTGTGTTCTTCTCTCTGAGATCTTGATCTGGCTGCTCTTCTGTGTCGCTTTCCACATTATAACCTTGCTGTAAACCTCTTTGCATCTTTTCTGGATAGAAGTTAAGGCTTCTGGGAGCAACTGTGGCTTTTCTAAATGAGACAACTCACTGGACGGACACCACATGAGGTGGCACAGATAACCCCAGAGTCTGGGCTGCTCAAAAATGGAATGAGGTGTTGCCTAACCTTTCCTGAGCTGCTCTGAAAGACTTGAGTGTGACCATA